ACACAACAAGGAACTAATATTATCTGTTTATAAGTCCGTACATGTAGATCAGCGAGCACAATTAGAAATTTATCTACTTATTTCATGAGAAAGCAAGTGTTACAATAGAACTGTGAGAGGATCCTCGGAACGATCACTCGGATACGTCGACAATATTTACAAGTGTGTTTCTTTTGACTCTCTGCGGTTGGAGTAAAAGAACCTGGCTTCATCATTTAAAGGTAAGTAATAATGTATTCGGGCGAGGTAAGGTAGTGTGTGTTGGAAGTCAGACTCTCATTTAAAAGCAAAAGACGTTGCAGATGGCTTGTGAGGCAGTCCAGAGGGTGAGGTGGGAGCTGTACTTTACGTGAGGTGGGTGGGGTATAGGTGGAACGACACTCTTTCTATAATACATATAGTTCACAAGATGAGGTAGAAAGGTTTAATATGTCTGGGGTTGGTAAGGAATAAGTAGAACGGTACTTTATACTATATACTAACTCTCTGATTATACATCAAGAACATCTTTTGAAGTAAATAAAATCTCCCTATCTCCAAAATAACATGTTGACGTCACTCGTCACCTGACCTCGTCCCGCCTGCAAAATATGCATATTCATCAGACAAAGCTAAAGGGGTTTAAAACGTTACACAACAAGGAACTAATATTATCTATTTTAAGTCCGTACATGTAGATCAGCGAGAACTGTGTTTCTTTTGACTGTCTGAAGTGTGGTTAGAAGACTTTGCTTAACCTTTTTAACATTCACCTCAGTAAATTTCCAGGTAAGTAGTAATGTGTTCGAGTGAGGTAAGGTATTTTGGTGTTTGTTGGTTGTGTTGGGGTATAACTCCCACGACATACGTTGCAGATAGTTGGAGATTTACTTTGTGTAGGGTGGGTGTGGAATATTTTCATACTACATGCGGCCCATACGGTAAGATAAAAGGGTTTGGTTTGTCCGGGGTGGGTGGGTAATAGGTGGAAGGAACAGCACTACATATTACATATTGTCTCTCTATTACACAACAGGCATATCTTTCGATGTAAAAGGAATATCTCTATCGTCAAAGTAACACTCTGACGTCACGTATCACGAGACCTCATTCCGCCCATAATTTATGCATGTTCACCCGACTAAACTAAAGGGTCGAGACAGGCTGTATGCCGTGAGAAACCGCACATTTTGTGTAATGTTGCATCATTTTGGACTTAAATATGGAATGATGGAAAGCAGAGGACATAACCATTTAAGGAGGCGTGCTCAACATGTATTTGTTGAAGAGGGGCCGACGACATTGTTAGTACTTATCTAGTCTAAACCCCTTCAATGTTTTCTTTCTTTCCCTCTCTCTCATATTCAGCACCGCCTCTCTTAACTCATCATTCATGTGATATTTAAGGTCAACGATTTTTTACTATAGATTATATAGTGGCATTTCATAAAAAAAAAATTAATATATCGTTTTGTGGCTAAAAATTCCAAAATGTGTGCTTCTGATCAGTAAATTTTTACTTGAAACTTACACATGAATCTCCTTCATAGTTTTACCAAACTTTTAACAAAACGATTATTTTGACAACTTCAATGTGAAATAAAAGCAACATTACAAAGAATCTCCAAATGTATGCCTCTAGCTGTCAGGTATAGTAACTTTTCAGCACATTGATATATCTTTGACAAACTTTTATTACAAAATTAGTTGTGCATTTTTTAGGTGAAAACAGCACATCATTCCAGTTCACGGAAATTTTCTTTGTCCCATCGCTGTGAATATCAAACAGTCACTGGAGTTTACATTAACGTCTGGGTTTTTTTCTTCTTCATATATATATATATGCGTATTACTCTATACATTCCTTTCATATATATGTCATGCAATTTCAAAGGCATGTGCACAGTTTACGACTGACATTTGTAACCATTGGTGTGAATATATACTGACCGTTCACTTACAGGAAATAAAACAGTAATGAAGACTTTTGCAGGCATTATTGAAGAAGTGTACAATGTATATACTATGTTGACGTTGATACTTACAATCATTTTAACGAGAAGTATACGATGTAGCTATGATTATAACAAATGCATTCATTCTTGATTTCGTTTTATCTGGGTTTGGAATGTTTTCATATACTTTCGTGAATTTTAAAGAGGTAGGACGAGACGTCCATATCATATAAGTACGGACATGATTACGTACAAGTCACGGCAAATGTTTTGTTGTGTGTTTGCTTTGTTTGTTTTTCAATTGTTTCTCAGTCAATATCCATACTTCTATAACTAATCTGTATAACCAGTTCCGTGTCAATAACTAACGGACGAAGTGATCCTTAGGTAATTGCCGTAATGACAATTGCTGTACTGTGCAAAGTTATGCAGAACATCTTCTCATTCGAAATTTAATTCATACCCCACTTTAATAATAAAGTACATACACATTTGTACGCAAACCTACATGAATATGCAGGGGGATACTGAGGAACTCTAGTAAAATCTTCTAAATTCATTATATACCATGGCTATTTATATCGGAAAGTGAACGCACAGTAATTATTTTCTCACAATATTGCCATCATCTGCTCACAGCTCATATTTCAGATGTTTGTCTACATTAAATATGCCAGTCCTCTATTTTTCCAACAATAAATAATAAGAGTTGCTTCCCTTATATCAGATTTCAAGCGTTTCGGTGACATCGACTGACTCCACATTTTGCAGACGACATAAGAATGGAAGGAAGATTTCAGTTCAAAAAAGGTTTTGTGGTCATTCAGCTAAGATGGAAACTGACGTAACTTCTGTTCAATATTTATAACGATAACTTTAGAAAATCAGGTACATTTTAATCAGTGTTCTCCATTACGCTTGAATGACTCTCGGTGTTCATTGACGTATTAGGAATACACTGTACATTGCACACACGGTTGTCAAGCCGTCTCTTTAAATCTTGTTATGCTTGAGCTTTACCCAAATTAGATGAATATATAGTAATCACTTTGTACGTCCGTCTGTCCGTGTATCAATGATAGTATTTTATCCGACATATCCCATGAACCACTGGACAGGTTTAATTCATATTTAAACAATAGCATCACCCCAACAAGGTCAACACAGGGTTGTCTATTTCATATCAATTAAGAGTACATACCGTATTTATTCTAATAGATGCCTCCAACCAACCCATTTTCTCAGTAATTTTCCACAACTCGGGTCACAAAACTTACCTTTTATAAATGCCAAATATCCATGTATGTACATATGAATTTCTGAACAAGATAACAGTTAAATGCAAAATAGAACATAATCCAAAAAATCAAGAACACATGTCAGTTTACATTCCATTAACATCCGGGACTGCTGTATGAGCTACCGTCTTCACTTTCACTTTCACCATTATCACTTTCTGTTAGTTCTATTGGTGGAAGACGAGACACGTGCACATCACCCTTCAAATTTTACAAAACATCATCTGCAGTTTGGACATCCTTTTTGCTAAATCCTTTTAATTCCTCATCACCAGGATCTTGTTGGAAAATGTCATCCTCGCTACCGTCCAGCGAATTTGTAATGCCACATTTTTTTAAAGATCTTCTGGTAGTGGTCGGACTAATGCTGTCCCATGCTGCCTTGACCCATGGCAACATCACAACCTTAGATTTTCATGAGTACGAAATTTAAAAAACTATCAACCCGATCGTCAATCAATGCAACTGCATGTTGGGCAACGTGGGTAGATCGCCTAAATGAAATGTTATGTCTTTTTTCAAACTTTGTAAACCATCCATAGGAGGTTTTGAATGACTAGCTCCCGGTTGCCTTATGTATGCGTAGGGCCTCAAACCGCAAAGCTTTTCCGGTCACGCGGATACCGGCTTCTCGTCTGTCAGTCAGCCATTTCATTAAGTTTTTATCAATATCCTCATATGGAACATGCCTTCCACCTCCTTTACAACGTTTAGATGTTTTTTAGAGTTTTTCATTTATCTTTGTTTTACACCAGTCCCCCACTCGTTTTCTGTCAACACGAAACACTTTCGCTGCAGCATGTTTCCCCTTCTCTTCTGCGTAACCGATTACCCATAGCTTGAAGGGAGTATCATAATTCTGTTTTTTTACCCGACATACTGGTTATCAGGTATGTGATGATATGTTAGGAATCAGATTGGCTAATGCTGCATTTTTATTTGGGGTCAAGTACGTTTCTTGATAGAAACTGACACGATCGACCTCGCAAATGACAACAATGTTCAAGCTAATCCAATTATTAACACGTACGCTAAAACAATGTTCGAGTTACTGCAATGTCAAACACGTACACCAAATAATCTGTTAGTTTGTTAAACAATGTTTCAAATTGGTAGCCATGAAACGTGACGACCTACTCAGTCTGAAACTTTGTGTTCTATTAAACGCCCCCTCCTTGAAAAATTTCACGCCCCCGGGGCGTCTATTAGAATAAATATGGTATGTACTGTGATATGGATGTTGGTTTCATTGGACCAACATCAGTGACAGCTATAGGCTCAGTTTGGAATGGTTTTAAAAACACCTTAGTTTGATAAATTCATGTAAGCCTACTGATCGGGAAAACAGTGTATCTTTCGTTCTTCAGTCTGTAAGTACAATATTTTTCATATGTTCAGACCTATGGTATTGCAGTAGATTGATGGATCTTGAACATTGCTAGTAACCAGAGTTACATAATACATTGATGTTTGGCAGATTTTCATAGAAAATGAAAGGCATTTCTGATGCCCTTTCAGGTATTTAGCTACTTCCAGCAAGCAGAGCACTTCACTCCATATAGAATTTCACTTATAATTTTTTCTTTATGTTTTCAATAGGCATAAGATGACAGTGTGGTGCGGCAATTGATTTCTGTTGCTGAACACAAAGCAGAGACAGACAAGTGTCTAGTTGAAAATTCGAAAAAAGCATTTGGGACATGTAAGTACATGTATATAGGTGAAAAATTCATTGATTTATGAGATACCAGGTATGTCTGCCTCCAAGTGAAATATCAAGGGAAGTAACTCGTATAAAGATATGAACAAAATTTACAGTGGTTAATAATGATAATATCTTGAATTTCTCTTGTATTTGAATATGTTTTGTTTTTAATTCTATCAATCCCAAACACTAATTACGGCCTGTTCTAAGAACTAGAACAATTATAAAAATATACATCGTATCCTAAGGAACTGGGCAATTACAAACAATAATGTCCTGTCCTGAGGACTAGGCCTGAGGACTAGGACAATAACAAAGACTTATGTCCTGCCCTGTGTACTAGGACAATTACAAAGACTTACGTCCTGTCCTGCGGACTAGGACAATTACAAAGACTTATGTCCTGCCCTGTGTACTAGGACAATTATAAAGACTTACGTCCTGTCCTGTGGACTAGGACAATTACAGAGATTTATGTCCTGTCCTGTGGACTAGGACAATTAGCAATTACAAAGACTTATGTCCTGTCCTGTGGACTAGGACAAATTACAAAGACTTATGTCCTGTATTTACGACTAGGACAATTATAAAGACTTACGTCCTGTCTTGTGGACTAGGACAATTACAAAGACTTATGTCCTGTCCTGTGGACTAGGACAAATTACAAAGACTTATGTCCTGTCTTGTGGACTAGGACAATTACAAAGACTTATGTCCTGCCCTGTGTACTAGGACAATTACAAAGACTTATGTCCTGTCCTGTGGACTAGGACAATTACAAAGACTTATGTCCTGTCCTGTGGACTAGGACAATTACAGAGATTTATGTCCTGTCCTGTGGACTAGGACAATTAGCAATTACAAAGACTTATGTCCTGTCCTGTGGACTAGGACAAATTACAAAGACTTATGTCCTGTATTTACGACTAGGACAATTATAAAGACTTACGTCCTGTCTTGTGGACTAGGACAATTACAAAGACTTATGTCCTGTCCTGTGGACTAGGACAAATTACAAAGACTTATGTCCTGTCTTGTGGACTAGGACAATTACAAAGACTTATGTCCTGTCCTGTGGACTAGGACAATTACAAAGACTTATGTCCTGTCCTGTGGACTAGGACAATTACAAAGACTTATGTCCTGTCCTGTGGACTAGGACAATTACAAAGACTTACGTCCTGTCCTGTGGACTAGGGCAATTACAAAGACTTACGTCCTGTCCTGTGGACTAGGACAGTTACAAAGACTTACGTCCTGTCCTGTGTACTAGGGCAAATTACAAAGACTTATGTCCTGTATTTACGACTAGGGCAATTACAAAGACTTACGTCCTGCCCTTTGTACTAGGGCAATTACAAAGACTTATGTCCTGTCCTGTGTACTAGGGCAATTACAAAGACTTACGTCCTGTCCTGTGGACTAGGGCAATTACAAAGACTTATGTCCTGTCTTGTGGACTAGGACAGTTACAAAGACTTACGTCCTGCCCTGTGTACTAGGGCAATTACAAAGACTTATGTCCTGTATTTACGACTAGGGCAATTACAAAGGCTTATGTCCTGCCCTGTGGACTAGGACAATTACAAAGACTTATGTCCTGTATTTACGACTAGGGCAATTACAAAGACTTACGTCCTGTCCTGTGGACTAGGGCAATTACAAAGACTTATGTCCTGTCCTGTGTACTAGGGCAATTACAAAGACTTATGTCCTGCCCTGTGGACTAGGGCAATTAGCAATTACAAAGACTTACGTCCTGTCCTGTGGAGTAGGACAATTACAAAGACTTACGTCTTGTCTTGTGGACTACGACAATTACAAAGACTTACGTCCTGTCCTGAAGAAACAAGAGAAAAGAAGGGAAAGATTTTAAAGAACAAATTAAAATCAAACAGTGGTGTACACCAATATACCTGTAGGGTCTTTCATTATTTTATGAGAGTGTAATTTTTTGTTACTTAAACCTCTACAAATATATATAACAAATTTATATAAAAAATCTTTTGTTTCCTTTCAGATTCCTCTGATCTTCACCATGGCAACACCCATCGGTCAAACCGCTTTCCGTCCTAAAGGTCAGAAAACATGTATTCAACATAAAGAGAAACCGCTGGAACTTTATTGTGAGAAATGTGATCAACTTATCTGCCTTACATGTTTGTCAACAACTCACAAAGGTCATGATGTTTGTGAACTCAGTTTAATTACTCCTCAAAAGAAACAAAATATTAAAAGCTTTATTGACAAAACAGAACAAAATGACCTGAAACAAGTCAGGGAATATATATCTTCTGTGGATACACTCCTTAAAAACAACACCAGCAATTTTGAGGAATTTTCACTCAAGTTAAAATCTCAAACAGATAAAATTAAACAAGACCTTGATTTGCTTACAGCACAGACACTCTCAGTTTACAAACAGATGGAAGAGGACAATGCCAGGCTGATTCTAAAGTACAAAAAAGACCTGGAGACATACAACAAGCAGCTAAAACAACAACTACAGGAATGTAAGGTGGCCCTCCAGCAAGGTTCTCACCTGGAAATCTACGACACAGAGTGTGAAATACATCCGTCAATACATCTCCCAGTGAATCCTGTCCTGGGTACGGCCAGCTTCACACCTAACACAACTCCACAACATCATCTACAACTGGCCTTAGGGACAGTTACCACCTCAGGTCAAACATCAGCTGACCAGGATCGGTCAGTCTTAGCATCAGGTGACCAGGAACAATCCTCTAAACAACAACAAACAGGAGTAAAAGGGAAGAAAGCAGTGATAAGTAAAACACTACTGTCAGAGACCAAAGTGGTGAAGGAGTGGGAGTCTCCATGTGACATTGTGTCTATATGTCCCACCACTGATGGTCAGGTGTGGACCAGGTGTTACAGTAAAACATTAACTCTCCTTAACAGGGAAGGTAAAGTAGTACAGGAGGTCACACACACGGCTTTCATCAGAGACATCAGTCTATCACCCACAACACACACACTGTGGGTCTGTGACTGGGACAACAACATCATGGAGCTGGTATCAGGACGACTTACAAACAAATTCAGAACCAAGGAGGAACCCCAGTGTATATGTGTTACAGCCAGTAACCATATCATTGTGGGGATGGACCAACACATCTGTAAATTTACTACACAAGGTCAAATGGTACTCACTACAATGGCTGTAGGGACTGGGAAACCATTAGTGTATATACCACGCAGGATGTCAGAGTGTCCAGTAACAATGTCACAGTGATTGTCAACAGTGACGTGTTGTTGTCATGGATATGACTTCCAGGAAGTGTTTGTATATAGAGGTGACACAGTACATATAAACAAACACCACAAACAGGACGAAGATTTAACCCCAGGGGTGTGGTGTATGACAGTGTGGGGAACCTCATCATAGGGGACTGTAACAACTGTAGGGTCCTACTCCTCAGTGGAGGTGGTGAGTTCCTCAGGATCATATACACAGACAGAGTGTGGACAGGGGCTGTAGGTATAGACAGGGACGATGTTCTGTGGGTAGTGTTTAGGGGTAATGTAAAACTACTACAGTAATGTAAAACTACTACAGTACAGTGTGTGACAGTACTACTACAGTACAGTGTGTAACAGATATATGTTACTCTGGTTAGTAACCATGGTAACTAACATTGTAATTAACATTTACATACCACAAAAACAATACCATTTAAATGAATGATGTTCATTAGCAAAATTCAAAATATTTAAATGTCAAAATTCACTGTTGTGGACAAAAACTTTTTAGCAATTCACTAATAAGTTATCCTGTTAATGATCCTGATTAGACAGAACTTAGAACATCACAATGTCTATCTTCAGGTCCTCAGTAGAATACCACTCAGGTGAAACCTTCTTCACTTTGTAAACAATATGTGTGTGTAAAAATCAATATGACATTTGCTTTAATGTGTAAAATCATTGCTGATTCCTCCTGGGGAAAAAAGTGGTAAAAAAACAACATTTCTGTTAAATATTTTTAGTCAATACCTTTGGATAATCTCCGTTTTAAAAGTAACTGTATATATTAAATTATGCCGTAACCCTATCTCTGTGTATTGTATGTTTGCCATTTAATCAGCAATAAAATACATAAAATTACATTGATATTGTATTTTTTCTGTTTTAATATATTTTCTGTTGTATATGTGTCAGAAAACTCCGGAATGTGATTTAACATGATGTCAGAATACTCCGGGCTCCTATTTAACAAAGTGTCGGAATACTTAGGTGTCAGACTATACAGGATGCTTGAATACTCACGGTTGAGATTTAGTATGATGTCAGAAAACTCGGAGAGTAGATTTAAAAGGATATTAGAACATTCAGGACTCAGATTTAACGGGATATCAGAATACTCGGGACAGTGATTTAACAGAGACTGACGCACATTTGACCGTGGAAAGGCTGAGCTCATCTGTTGGTCTGGTGTACATACCCCATATTTTCAATTTGTGTCACAGATACGCATTCCATGGATGTTTTTTTAGATAAAGAATGCACAAAATTAGACAAGATATCGCCAATGATTGTTGATCGTGTTTATTACGATCACGTTGTGTCAAATGTATTTTGGGATCCTATATGAAACAATAAAGATTTATGCATTTTAAAAACATGAGTTAGATGTAAAATACCAGGTTGTTGGAAAATAATTAAGCATTGCTTTCTTATAACACGTATCAAGAATTTACCCCTGTAAAATTGTTATGTTGTAAAAAGAAAACGACAGACAAAACTTGACAAAATATCGCCGATGATCATTGATCGTATCAAAAAAGCAAACAAAAACAAACAAACATACGAACTGTATCTCGGTTACAAACATCTTACACAGTTTCATCAGCAGCAAAATGTGTCATTTGGACTAAATCCATAAAATATCTGGAGAGTTTTCTGTCGTGATGACGTGCAAGTTTTGTCGCTTGAAAGTACAACACACACCAAGTTTGTCTGTCCGTCTGTCTGGTTTCACCACGGACTTAGACTTATCACTTAAGGATACTAATTTGCGATTTACGTGCAGGGCGGTGATTGGCTCCTTTTGTTTCGTCTGGTCGTAGTTCATTTAAAATCATTAAATACTGTGCCCCGATGAGTTTCTACTCTCGCTTTCCCTCCCTGTATGTATCTGTCCGCCTGTGTGTCTTTGTGTGTTTCTTCTCTCTGTCCTGCCGTATGTCTTTCATTGTGTATGTCACTCAGTCCAACTCTTTCTCTGGTAGCCGTCTGTCTGTCCGGACATCAGTAAGTCTGTGTATGTTGCTGTCGGTCCGAATGTTAGAATGTCTTTATGTATATCTGCCTGTTCGTCCATCCGTCTGTATGTTTGTTTCTATCCGGACATCGGTATCTCCATCTGTATGTGTTTATATTTCTGTTGTCTGTCTCTGTATCTGGCTGTCCATTCCCGTATTTTGTGTGTCTATATGTCGGTCAGTCTGTCCGTCTTTGTCTTTTCGATTGTATGTGCCTCATGTCTCTTTTTAAACATTTTAAATAATTTTTTGCCACTTTTTAAAATAAATATACTAACATTATTTAGTAGTAATGAACATTACACAAGACACGCTTCATTTAACCTGTTACAATAGTCTTTTATCATATTAAATGTATGTTGTTATTCCCGATAAAGTCTTGGAGTGATACACTTGAAAAGACAAAGGGATTCGTCCCCTATTTCCCCGAGACATAAACTGCAAATTCTTTCTGATTTTCGTGGAATTCCTGACCATCTTCCAGTTTCCGCTGATTGATGGAATTTGGATGTGCGAACTTTACACAAAACATTTCTGTTCCTAGATTAGGTTTCAAAAGATATTTCTTAATTACAAAATGAACTTTAAAAACTTAATACACTTGACAACGACCACAATTTTCAATATCGTCAATCGCTTTTGTATTAACTGACCATAAATTTGCTGCTGTAATCCGTTTGATTGAAGCAGGTCGTTTTTATTCGTCACAGTTAAATTATGATAGGACCACGTGGAAATATAATTTAATCCGGTATCGTTAAGTAAATTATTAACAATTCTAATCCATTTAAAAAGTACTCCCGTCTTTCCCTGTAGATGAAATATGAACGTTACAGACATGTAGATATCTTACTACTATTTCGTGTGATCAGTTTTCCCCCAAAAAATATATCTTACTTTTATTTGCACATCTTCAGGAAAACGCCCAGTCTCGCAATAAACCTCGAAGTCAGGAGTACTTTTTATCACGTTTCAGACTTTCAATTTTTTTCCTATCTTTTTAATATGACAAGTTTCATGTCCCAAAAGATTTTTGGTGCTTGATCTGATAACCGTTTTTGTAAGTAAATCACTACTGACGGAGAGAACGTTAATGACAATATGAGTGGAGAAGATATTTTATTTATAGATCAAGTTATCAAATTATTTGATTGTAGTTAGGGACCCAAAAATTCCTGTTTCCGGTAATCCTACCACAGTAAGACTCCTCGTGCGCTTCAATCCGTGCCAACAATGGTGATAAATATAAGTTAATAGCTTGTTAAGAATTCGTTGTAAAATAGTTAAGTTCATATATATCATATATTGTGTGCCTATCTTCAACTCTTTAGAGAGATTTTCAGAGAGCCAAGATTTCCTATATTAACCATATGACATTATCTGTTAACTGTTTGAACTTACCCTAAATTTTTCAAACACTTGAAACGAAACACTTTATGTCAAGTCTGGTAAGATGCGCAATACGTAGAAATGTTCTCGAGCCTTATACCGGAAATCAGGTAAACAGGAAATCAGATACTATTATCTTTCCTGATAAAAACTGTATTTCCACAACACGTTTTTGACAAATTGTTTTTATTTCCACGTGAATTTTTGAGAGTTTATTTTGTCCGTTAGTTCTCTTTTTATCCAATAGAAAGTCACAAAATATATATAGTATGCAGTTTGCTGATATTGTTGGATAATTTTAACCACTTTGATTTTCCACCAACACTTACTTTAATCTGTCATTGTGACCAGTGCTAGTAAAACAAGCCATTAACTCTAGACTATTTTAGGTTTCTATATAAACATAAGAATAACGGAGAAAATGAGATGTTTTTGTTACAGACACGGTATATGTGTAATTGTACTATTTTCCTTGTCACATGAGAAGTTTTCACAGGTAAAATTTTATGACTATATTTTATTATTATTATTATTATTTTGCCACAGGAAAAGCTGCAACAGTTAAGAATTTCAGAAATTTTTTATCCAAAAAGAAAATATGTAGCCAGTAGGTGGTGTCGTGGCCGCTAAAGTCAAAAGAGTTACCTCCCTTCGTCCAAAACACTTGATGTATAAGTTCCAATCCATCACATGCGAATCCGAAACTGTTATAGGAGCTGAATTTCAACAATTCATTGAAATTTTGAAAACATTTTCAATCGAGTGAAGTCAGCGAATATGTGAAATGTACAATTCTCTTAAACAATTTTAAGTTAAAAGAGAGAGAGAGAGAGAGAGAGAGAGAGAGAGAGAGAGAGAGAGAGAGAGAGAGAGAGAGAGAGAGAGAGAGAGAGAGATGGAGAGAAAGAGAAAGTGGCGGTGGAATTGGATATTTGACCCAGAACAATATCAAAACATTAAAACAGAATTCATTTACTTAAGATCTGGTGACTGATGACACCAACGTTCCTTGTCTCACACAATAATAGTATGCGATATAGCTACATACGACACAACTGTACGCGGTTATACAATTTTATGACACTGAAGCAGTCTGTAGGTCACCTTGATCAAAAGACCGGCGGATTTATGCAATACCACGTCGTCCGTCGCCTGTAAACTTTTCCCGTTTTAAATCGCAACAAGTCACAAACAAATCTGATTTTGAAATCCTACTCCTCCTGTAGGATTGGTTGGATTTTGACCAAATTTGATCTGAGGCATCCTTGGATAATGAAGAGTAATGTTGTATAAACAATGGGTCACAGCCCTCCGGCGCTCAATTGAATGAAATAGAACAAATTCTTTTAAACCATACTCTTGCAGTTGGATTTTCCCAAAATGTGGTATGAAGAGAATCGGTTTTGTATAAACATTACATTGTAGCCCTCTGTAGCAGGGGGATTTGAGGCTCAATAGAGGAAGTAGAAGAAATTATTTAAAATCCTTCTATAGCTAAGCTTTATATGATGCATCTTTGATTGAAGAATCAATTCTCTATGAAAGGCGCTTTCTGACCACAGGGGCTGGAGAAGTATGACCCAATATGGGGAAACAGAAAAAAATCTTTAAAATCCTCTTTCTCCAGTTAAAATGTCAGGATTCTTTCCCTCTTTTGTCTGAAACGTTACTAGCAGTGATTAATTTCTGTTAATATTGGTAAACTCTATTTAGTATCCATGACAACAAATGAGGAAGTACACTGACTGACCATTACTAAATGTAACATCAATATCTATTACATTGTGTTTATTGGTAACCAGAGTAATAACTTATTGTGTACAATGTTTTTTGTAGGGATAAAATAAAAAGTATAACATATACTGTCTGTGAGACATGAATGCCTCCACTCTATGTATGTAGGTATCATTGTTTGATGAGCTTGTGAAAAGTTGTCATGTGTGACCTTTTGACCCTTGACCCAATCAGGGTAAAGTTTAGAAGTTGTGATGATATAATTTGATAAATATGAAGGATTTCAAGAAATGAGGTTGTTGTCTGAGGACGTTTCAGGAGGAGACGAGCAGTCCGGTGTAACATTATACATGCATTCTTCAAACCATACACACATATAATGATGTGGGTGTAAAAATGTTGGGATTTTTCAGTTGTTCTGCTAGACAGCTGACGACAGAAAATAACCCCCAACTAAACAGTTCTGATCTCATCTTAGATGTCTTAACAAAGTTTGTAAATAAGTTATTGCAATGGTCTCTGTTTGTCAACAATTATTGTGATTTCTTAATCAATCCTATGAATGACAGAAAAATCATCTCCTAGGGGTAACAGAGAAATCTTGCACAGGCAAAACGGGGGATCAATCTATGATAGAATAACGAGTTCAATGTTACTAAAATGAGATAACAAAATATCAAAAGTTATAAAATGCCAATAAAGTTGTCTTCTTGGAATTGTATTGACACATACAAAAATGTTGACTTATTTTCAACTTCTTAGTTGTAATTTAGATTATCTTCCTTGAGAATATTTATGCAGTTTTCACATTTTTTCATGGTGTAACAGGCTGACATGTTGTAAATTAATAACTTCGTGATTTTCCCTCCCTCTCCTTGTTTCTCTTTATCTCTTCCTGTTTCTCTCTCCCTACTTTCCTTGTTTCTCTTTATCTCTTCCTTCCTGTTTCTCTCTCCCTCCCTTTCCTTGTTTCTATTTATCTCTTCCTGTTTCTCTCTCGCTCCCTCTCCTTGTTTCTCTCTTTCTCTCTATCTCTTCCTGTTTCTCTCTCCCTCCCTCTCATTGTTTCTCTCTATCTATTCCTGTTTCTCTCTCCCTCCCTCTCCTTGTTTCTCTCTATCTCTTCCTGTTTCTCTCTCCCTCCCTCTCCTTGTTTCTCTTTAACTCTTCCTTCCTGTTTCTCTCTCCCTCCCTCTCCTTGTTTCTCTTTATCTCTTCCTTCCTGTTTCTCTCTCCCTCGCTCTCCTTGTTTCTCTTTATCTCTTCCTTCCTGTTTCTCTCTCCCTCCCTCTCCTTGTTTCTCTCTATCTCTTCCTGTTTCTCTCTCCCTCCCTCTCCTTGTTTCTCTTTATCTCTTCCTTCCTGTTTCTCTCTCCCTCCCTCTCCTTGTTTCTCTTGATCTCTTCCTTCCTGTTTCTCTCTCCCTCCCTCTCCTTGTTTCTCTTTATCTCTTCCTTCCTGTTTCTCTCTCCCTCCCTCTCCTTGTTTCTCTCTATCTCTTCCTGTTTCTCTCTACCTCCCTCTCCTTGTTTCTCTCTATCTCTTCCTGTTTCCCTCTCTCCCTCCCTCTCCTTGTTTCTCTTTATCTCTTCCTTCCTGTTTCTCTCTCCCTCCCTCTCCTTGTTTCTCTTTATCTCTTCCTTCCTGTTTCTCTCTCCCTCCCTCTCCTTGTTTCTCTTTATCTCTTCCTTCCTGTTTCTCTCTCTCTCCCTCTTCTTGTTTCTCTTTATCTCTTCCTTCCTGTTTCTCTCTCCCTCCCTCTCCTTGTTTCTCTCTATCTCTTCCTGTTTCTCTCTCCCTCCCTCTCCTTGTTTCTCTTTATTTCTTCCTACCTGTTTCTCTCTCCCTCCCTCTCCTTGTTTCTCTTTATCTCATCCTTCCTGTTTCTCTCTCCCTCCCTCTCCTTGTTTTTCTCTCTCTTCCTGTTTCTCTCTCCCTCCCTCTCCTTGTTTCTCTTTAACTCTTCCTTCCTGATTCTCTCTCCCTCCCTCTCCTTGTTTCTCTCTATCTCTTCCTGTTTCTTTCTCCCTCCCTCTCCTTGTTTTTCTCTCTCTTCCGTTTCTCTCTTTTTCCCCTCTCTTTCCCTCTCCCTCCCTCTCCATCTTTCTCTATCTCTCTTTCCCTCCCTTTACTTGTTTCTCTCTCATCCTCCCTGTTTTTCTCTCTCTTCTCTCTCTCTTCTCTTCCTTTTTCTTTCCCTCCCTCTCCTTGTTTCTCTTTATTTCTTCCTACCTGTTTCTCTCTCCCTCCCTCTCCTTGTTTCTCTTTATCTCATCCTTCCTGTTTCTCTCTCCCTCCCTCTCCTTGTTTTTCTCTCTCTTCCTGTTTCTCTCTCCCTCCCTCTCCTTGTTTCTCTTGATCTCTTCCTTCCTGTTTCTCTCTCCCTCCCTCTCCTTGTTTCTCTTTATCTCTTCCTTCCTGTTTCTCTCTCCCTCCCTCTCCTTGTTTCTCTCTATCTCTTCCTGTTTCTCTCTACCTCCCTCTCCTTGTTTCTCTCTATCTCTTCCTGTTTCCCTCTCTCCCTCCCTCTCCTTGTTTCTCTTTATCTCTTCCTTCCTGTTTCTCTCTCCCTCCCTCTCCTTGTTTCTCTTTATCTCTTCCTTCCTGTTTCTCTCTCCCTCCCTCTCCTTGTTTCTCTTTATCTCTTCCTTCCTGTTTCTCTCTCTCTCCCTCTTCTTGTTTCTCTTTATCTCTTCCTTCCTGTTTCTCTCTCCCTCCCTCTCCTTGTTTCTCTCTATCTCTTCCTGTTTCTCTCTCCCTCCCTCTCCTTGTTTCTCTTTATTTCTTCCTACCTGTTTCTCTCTCCCTCCCTCTCCTTGTTTCTCTTTATCTCATCCTTCCTGTTTCTCTCTCCCTCCCTCTCCTTGTTTTTCTCTCTCTTCCTGTTTCTCTCTCCCTCCCTCTCCTTGTTTCTCTTTAACTCTTCCTTCCTGATTCTCTCTCCCTCCCTCTCCTTGTTTCTCTCTATCTCTTCCTGTTTCTTTCTCCCTCCCTCTCCTTGTTTTTCTCTCTCTTCCGTTTCTCTCTTTTTTCCCCTCTCTTTCCCTCTCCCTCCCTCTCCATCTTTCTCTATCTCTCTTTCCCTCCCTTTACTTGTTTCTCTCTCATCCTCCCTGTTTTTCTCTCTCTTTCTCTCTCTTCTCTTCCTTTTTCTTTCCCTCCCTCTCCTTGTTTCTCTTTATTTCTTCCTACCTGTTTCTCTCTCCCTCCCTCTCCTTGTTTCTCTTTATCTCATCCTTCCTGTTTCTCTCTCCCTCCCTCTCCTTGTTTTTCTCTCTCTTCCTGTTTCTCTCTCCCTCCCTCTCCTTGTTTCTCTTTAATCTTTAACTCTTCCTTCCTGATTCTCTCTCCCTCCCTCTCCTTGTTTCTCTTTATCTCTTCCTGTTTCTCTCTCCCTCCCTCTCCTTGTTTCTCTCTATCTCTTCCTGTGTCTCCCTCCCTCTACTTGTTTCTCTCTATCTCTTCCTGTTTCTTTCTCCCTCCCTCTCCTTGTTTTTCTCTCTCTTCCGTTTCTCTCTTTTTTCCCCTCTCTTTCCCTCTCCCTCCCTCTCCATCTTTCTCTATCTCTCTTTCCCTCCCTTTACTTGTTTCTCTCTCTCCCTCCCTGTTTTTCTCTCTCTTTTTCTCTCTTATCTTCCTTTTTCTTTCCCTCCCTCTCCTTGTTTCTTTCCTCCCTCCATCTTTCTCTCTTCCCCCTCTCTCTCCCTCTCTTTGTTTACTTTCTCTCTTCCTGTTTCTCTCTCTCTCTCCCTCTCCTTGTTTCTCTCTCTTCCTGTTTCTCTCTTCCTCTCCCACCCTCCTCCTCTTCCTTTTCTTCTATCTGCCTCTTTAGGCATTCCATAAATCCTTCTCCTATCACTAATGTATTCTTCATATCCCATCTCTCTCTCCTGACTTTTCCTTCCTAAAACCTGGCTATCTCCTCCACTTGTTAGAAGTCGTTATCCAACGTGGTTTTCCACACAGCCATACTACCCTCCTCACGATCACTAAGCGCTGAAAGACAACATGAACAAAGATTTAAAATCTATATTAATTTGTAAGAAAAATCTTTCCTTATCTGTAAAAAGGCTTCATTTCTTATTTTTTGTAAGAGAAATATTGATATATTTATAGGAGAAATGTTTATGTATTTGTACATTAGTCCTGACTTTTTTTTAGAGAAATCATTAGAAATGTTTATTTTATTTTGTAAAAATTAATACATGTTTATATGTAAGAGAAATATTTCCTTTCACACATAAGTTTAAGACATTATTCTATGGGCATTGACAACGTACCATACTCTGTTGAAATAAGGATTGGGTCAGATGGCATACTGGGATCACTCATGCCAACGATGTTGTTGGCGCTGACCCGGAACTGGTACGAACAGCCAGGGGTCAAATCCCCTATCATCTGCGACGTGTTTGGAACGTATGGAATGGCTGTCTGCCACGTCTCATTACCTGTAATCAATAGATAAGCATTTAGCTTGGATAAGTTCAATTTTTGTTAAAATACACAAGTAAAGTCAAATATTGACTCCAAAATAATTGAAATGTTTTTTATTCAAGATGGAATCATATTATCTGTAATTAAACTTTCCCTCAAATCTGGAATAACAATTTCATTACACCTGTATTAAATCTTTCCCTCACACGTGTAATAAACTTTACTTACACCTGTATTTAACCTTTATACCTGTAATTAACTTTCCTTCCACCTGTAATTAACCTTTCCTCACACTTGTAATGAATCTTTATTCCTGTAACTAACCTTCCTTACACCTGTAATTAACCTTTATACATGTAATTAACTTTCCTTCCACTTGTAATTAACCTTTATACCTGTATTTAACCTTTCCTCACAGTACCAATGAATCTTTCCCTTACACCTGTAATTAACCTTTATACCTGTAATTATCTTTCCTTACACATGTAATTAATCTTTCCCTCACACCTGCAATAAAATTTCCTTACACCTATAATTAACGTTTATACCTGTAATTAACTTCCGTACACCTGTAATTAACTTTTATACCTGTAATTAACCTTATACCTGTAATTAACTTTATACCTGTAATTAACTTTCCTTACACCTGTAATTAACCTTTTTACTTATAACTAATCTTCCTTACACCTATAATTAACCTTTATACCTGTAATTAGCTTTCCGTACACCTGTAATTAACCTTTTTACCTGTAATTAACTTTTCTCACACTTGTAATGAATCTTTCCCTCACACCTGTAATAAACCTCCCCCACATCTGTATTTATCTCGTGACTTTCGTGCCCAGCTACCAGCACCAGCACGACGAAGCTTTGAAGCACGCGTTTCGATTGAGAGGAAAACCATTTGGAATCAACGAACAGTTCCCTCCAGCTATCGAAGAGATCTTTATCCTATGATGAAGGAGAAGCGCAGGGAGGGGCGTAGGGTCAAGCCTGTCCGGGACAAGATGTTTGTTGATGGGGAATTGTACACCGGCCAACCAAGTTCAGATAGGAGTAGTCATCGACGGATTGCCTCGCGTCTTTTATATGCTGTTGCATAAAGAATAAAATAAAACTGTAAAATTGTAATTAACTTGTCCTCACACCTGTAATTAACTTGTCGATACATCTGTATTCGTAACCTGCTTCCCTGAATTCCAGTGTATATCCCTGTGTGTATCTGACTGCCATGACTAGCGATGGTAGGGGGAGACCACTCTAGATGTTCTGAAGTCCCCACTTTATTTGTGATCATTGGTTTAGTAGGAGCTCTTGGTCGGTCTGCATGTTAATACAGAAATAGCATTTTAATGAATAACAACTATAACAAGAGATCCAAGTGGGATCTTGGAACCCATTGTCATTCGATCTTTAAAAACTGGATCGTCTTCCTTTATTTCTCTTCTTTCCTGAGTTTGCTCTTCATTTTATAAAATTTGATAATTCTTCTTAAGAAATAACAATAACAATATTTAACTACCAAATCCAAGGTAATCACCTGTCAGCCATCTTCTTTTTCTGATCAATCAGAAGGGCACAACTAGGGAGTAAGGGTAACCTACATATACAATTTGTGAAATATCTATCCAGTACTTCTTAAATATTGATAACGCTTGATCAGGCTATATACGTATTATGTAAGTAATCAACGCGGACTAGAGGAATTCGATTTTAATTTGCTGGTGATTGGAATATCGAGAAAAGTGGACTTACCTATTACCTTTTCACTTTTTTCCCCAGGTTTTATCATCGCAACGCAGTAAACTGTTACAATGAACTTGTTTTATTTTGTTTCATTGAATTATATATGACTAACCAGTAATTATTGTTTGATTCCAAGATGAGCTTTTGTATTATACATTATTCATAGAAAATGTGAACCACATAAAGCAGGCTTTATCTTACAGTGTAAAACAGGTTATCTGTCGTACGACATTTAATGTACACTTACAGTGTAATAATAAAAGATCAGACTTGTGTAATGTATATTATTTTGGAAATTTTTAGTGTAAGAGTAGGGGTGTAGAGCTTGTTGATATGGAGATATTTGAATTTTTGGCATTTTAGCATAATTAGAGTCATTAATGTACTGACCACATCTTTGTCATCTTTGTTTTTCTTGACACATGTTTTGCATTCCACTCAAACACAAATACAAAATATGTTCAAATAGATGGAGTGAACTACATACTTAATAAGATTTCTAAATTTTTACCTCATTATGCGTAACGTAACGATAGTTCAGTGGTAAGCTCTCCGCAATCAACTCCAAAGGTGCTGGGATCGAAACCTCAATTGAATTTTTCTTTTTTCTTTTTTAACTGAAAAGGGAAATTGCATGATATCGAAACTTTCACAACATTGTTTCTATTTTGTTTCATTAGAGATCATTAAAAATAATGAAACAATGCAATCGTTGATTGTTTGAGATGTGAAATTTAATCTTAACATCAATCTTTTAATTCTCACGTGGTTTCCAATCACTAGAGCTTCAGGTTATCGTTAAAGCGTGTGAAATTCTTTTTCTCATCAACAACAAAAAAGTGGTATGACATAGATATTTCTATAAAGAAATCTCTTTCTCTCAATATATTTAAATCAATTATCAGTAAGACAGAAATGATACATGAAAAATGCTTTTAGGTATGGGATTTACGTAATTTAAACATACTTCATTTCCGTTTGAGAAATCCTGCCAGATTTCTTCATTACGCATTTCTAGAGCAAAATGTAATACAGCTGAAAGTAGATGCAGCAACCCATGTGAAGACTTTTATTACTATTTTTGCGTTTGTACCCTATACATTCATAATCGAAATCTATTAATAAGACAGTTACAAAATCTCTTTGAGAATTTTATTAGATTTACTCATATATGGTGATTAGAAATTAAGCAAAGATGATATTTCTTAATTCACAAAGAGGTAAAATAGGGATTTGATTGAATGTGACTCTCTCTCTGTCTCTCTCTCTCTCTGTCTCTCCCCCCCCCTCTCCACCCCCCCCCTCTCTCTCTCTCTCTCTCTCTCTCTCTCTCTCTCTCTCTCTCTCTCTCTCTCTCTCCTTTGCCGTCTAGTATTAAGTTGTATTAATTTCGCCTAACATTATACATAGCAAGGCAAATGATTATATTTAATTGAAATATGTAATACAGGAGATTTAATTGGTGCTGTTGTACTAGCTTGTGCCCAGTCCTATTTTCTTTTTCTTGGCAATTAAAAAGTAAGATATGTTTAAACTGAAATAAAAAAAGGTGTACGCCTCCCCCGACAAATCCCAATACAAAGATCTATTTATACACACATGTAGGGAAAAACCCAAATCCTTATAAAGTATATAAATCAATACTTCGCAAGTGAAAAATTATATTGATATTTTAATATTTAATCGATAAATTACCAAATTTAAATCTACTTTACATGTCTGCCACAAGTTCCAGAATGGGACGGAGGAGATAGTCGTATGGCTAAGTAAATGCAGCCATCGTTTAGATATATTTGAGATACATGAAAAAAATTTTTTGTTTAAAGCCTGAAAGTGTAAATTACCAGCTTTGTGTTTTCGTTTTGGTTCCTTGCGCAACACAGGCAGTCAGCTCTGTTTACAGGTAAAGACAATAAATAACGATTATCTTTTTTTCCTTTAAAAGATGAAATTGTTTTTCTTTGCCAAAAACTTCTATTCAATGCATGCACTTCTGCAAAACATTGTAATCTAAAATTGAACTTTATATGAAAATATATTCTGATGTAATGTAAATATACATTACATAAGAATATATTTTCATATTCAACTGATCATGAATATTACGTGGTTTGATAGGGAAGTTGATCGTCTATTGCCACAAACCATTTTTAAGTCTGCAAAACATACTCAATTATGCAAGTTTCAATACGAAAAAAAACCTACACGCCCCGTATATTGCGTTAAAACCCCAGAGCTGATATAAATATTTACAACGTGTGTTTTTTAACTTGTAACATGTTCAATAGACCCTTCATCTTCCATACTGAAAGGCGAAATGACGATGATTATCCGGACGAACGATTTTGTCCCACTAATTCACGACTTCACAATTTCGTTATTTCGGGTTGAGTTGTCGCATCTTTCATAATGCCGCTGTGAAATGATGATAGTAAGCGAGGCGATAAAACGAAGATCATCGTTCTGTCGAGGCAAAAGAATGAAACAGCGAATTGTCATAAATCAGCAATCAAGCTATTTTGGGACCAGACAACCGTATCAAACTATCAATCGATAAGGATAGACATACCACGGACACGGATTAATATATGTTGAAAAAACTTGTTTCTTAATCCAAATCTAATGATTGTTTTGTAAAATGTATATGTATATATAAGAATGAAATAAATTTAATATTAAACTGTATCAATCGAT